GCTGCCCGTACCACCCATCCTAATAGGCCTAACAAGTTGGTTTACTTTTTTTAAAAAAAGGGGAAAAAAAAAAAGGTTGGCCTTACACTCTAGGAACCAAAGGATCGGTATGAGAAGGAAGCGATCCGCATTAAGGTGTTTTGTCAATCTGTCATTTATTACATCTCTAAGTGGTCGTTTGGGCTATAAGTTTACTTGACCGCTAATTTGTGAAGGTTGATCGACCTGGTCGGTTTTGTTTTACGTCCAACAGGATTTCACTGCCACTCCCCTAGGTCCAGAACCAACTCGTTGATGCCCATGACGAGTTGGAAGGTGCGAACTTTCTCTCCTTTGTCCAGGACCAAGACCCGGACCTGAAAAATTTTGGCTTTGTCCCTCCAAACGAGAGTATCCTGGTTGTTCTGCAGGGCTTCTGTTCTGCTAACTGCATAGCTCTCCACTAGGGTGGCTTGTGTCCTTGTCATGTGTATTTTTCCTAGTTGTCACGACTCCCCTCTGATTGCCACCCAATATCCTTCCTTAAAGTGAGACATTTTCTTTGCACCCTGTACCACGAAAGCAACACCGCTTCAATAAGCGAATGTAGGTTGCGGTCGAGGTGGGGATAATATTTCAGGGTGCCGTGCAGTTCTTCCCTCGTCTTCCAATCCCCTAGGTCTGTGTTCCGAATGTCCGCTATTCTGATTACGACACTTTTCAGCTAGGTTTTCCATAGTGACGTCGAGTTGCGCATCACTTGTCTGTGTCTAGTAGTGAGCCAACGGTTCCTCAAGAGGGGTTGTCGAAACACTTCCTCCCACCGGTCAAGTTGTTGCCCGTCCCGAGGGCGGAGCTTTCGCTTGCTCCTCAGAAGGCGAGGGCAAAATTGGTCTACTGTTTTGCCCATTATCCCTTCCCTATTGGGCCACTTTTGTGGGATGGCCCAATAGTGGTTCTGAAGGCATGTTAGGGGGGTGCACGGTGGGGAGCCAGGCGGGGCAGGTGCTCTAGGGTCAAGGGTTTCCACGGACTGTGCTGAGCAGAAACCAGTTTTTTAATCCATTGGAGACTAAGGATTTGGGTTTGTGTCGCAGAATGTATTATTCAACCTCCTACAACTTTTGGTTGGATGATCGAGTCCCATACCACCCGGCTTATAACGCTTGGCAGCTCGCCGTGCCCCCTCCATAAGAAGGTTGCAACCTTAGCCTTCAACGATCGCACCGCCTCTCTACTTAACGACCACACTATTAATTTGTACCATAGCGAGGTGAACACCATGCTATTAATCACTAGTGTTGTGAAGGATTCGCCAGGATGGCGGCCCGTCAGGATGAAGACAAAGTGATGAGGATGGAGGAAATGGAGGTGCAGCTGAAAGGGACAACGCAACTCCCACGCAGACTCATCACGCACGTACTCCAAAGTGTGCAAAATGAAGAATGACCTGAAAACAGACTGCAGTTGGGGTATGCCCCCAGCAGACTGACTGGAGTCGACTGGACTGGTATCGACAATGGTACCGGGCAAGACTGGATTGGATTGAAACAGCACACGACCTATGGGGTCAGGTTACGGCCTAGTCCCACAGTCCGAACAAACATATAGCCTGATAGGCCCTGGCTGTAGGTCACGACAGATAGAGGCCCGCTGCACAATCCTTAGACCTGTAGTGGATCCCAAGAGCCATAAACACGTTATCCGCCAAAAGTAACGGAACTCAGCAATAAGGAAAACTGAGAAACCTAGGATGTGGACCAAGCTCCATGCAGAGTCCATGCGATGCAACCTAAGCTACATAATGTCAAATGAAAAACAAATGTCTGGTATACACATCCTAACTAACAACAAAAAATGACATGTAGCAACATACAATCCTAAGGTCGGTGAGACAGTTGCCTCAGTGCTGAAAGGAAAAGAGAGCAATATGTCACAAGTAATGTCATGTCGATGAACCACTAAGAGTGGGATGGTCTCAGAGCGGGTGAATGCAGCCTAAGAGTCAAAACTCCTAAGGGAAGTCACACACGAAGGTGGGATAGGTCATCAGGCTCAGGGTGAGGGAGTGGTAGCGAAGCGAAACCAATTACCCTAACAGATAGACCATCAAGGCACGTAATGCTCGACGAAAGGATAACACCATGCAAGGTGTACCATGAAAGGGGGGCCTGGAATTGGGTGGACATATCCCTAACTGAAAGCATGCAATGGCCGACAATAGGGTCATGAGGGATGCAATGGGTGAGAGAAACATGCACACAACTCACCGACTGGGGAAGGGAGCTAGATTTGGGAGCAGGGAAGCCAAGATAACGCTATGGTCTCAATGCGTATGCGATACCAAGGAAGAGCTCAACTCATAGAGACCAAGCTAAGTGAGAACCATCATGCGACAGATACAATGGGATATATAGGGTAGGGTGGTGGCGTAAGGAAACCGATAAGGTAGTTGAAGTCGTCGATGAAGTAGGAGTCGAGTCGATGTCGAAGCAAAGCCGCAAAACGCCAACATCCTGAAGAAGTTGATGATGAAGTACCTAAAGGTGTGAGTCAGTAGGAAGATAGTAGGTGATTAGAGTGTCAGTCGTCGAGACGTCGAGGGCGCCGACGAGTGCGTTGTAGATGCGCGGAGGCGTCCGTCTGCTGCTGAAGAACGACCTTAGAGGGACCGGGCTCGTCCTCAACGATCTCCTCAGTCGGAGGCGGAGGAAGAAGGTCAGTCGACTAAGTAGGAGCAGATGTCTCAACACGACGAGCACGATCATATGCACGTACCAACATCTGTGTGTGCTCCAGCCTCCAAGTGCTCGAGGGGCTCCCAGGTAGCTTCCTCATCAGAATAGTCCTTCTAACGCACAAGGTACTCGATGTGTGGAGGGGTATCGTCCGTACCTCAACGAGATACGATGTCGGAAAAGATGAACTCCTCATGATACTTCACGATGATAGTTGGAGGGCGCTCATAAGGACGTCCGACGAAGCGCTCGGACAATCTGCGATAAGGATGCAACAAGGAGACGTGGTAAACATCGTGTACAAGAGTCTATCAAAGGTAATCATGTAGCTTCACACAGAAGCTGATCCGACTAGCGGCAGTATCAAAACCGACGGCCTGAAGGATGCGGCATGGACCGAAGCAGAGACGCCTGAACTTGCGAAGCATATCCGCTTCGAGTTGCAAGCGGTGTGCGTCGACGAACACATCGTCACCGACTTTGAATGAATGATTCATTCATGATCGGTTCGCTCGTGCGGTCATACGAGTCTAAGAGTCAGCAAGACTCCCGTGTGTGCGCTTCATAATCGTCGCCATGTGGGCGATCCAGTCGTTAAGCGCAGGATAACAAGTGCTTGGGCACAACCATGATGGTTGTAGGAAATCCGCGGGTACGCGAGGGTGGCAGTCGAGGTCGCAATAAAATGGCGACATCTCCGTGGTTGAGGAAACGGCGTGGTTGTACGCAATCTCCGTCTGGACTAAGTGTAAATCTCGCTGTTAGTCATCCCTCTGAGAGTGATAAGACAACGAGAAGTGTAAGTCTTGTTGTTCGTCATCCCACCGAGAGTTTTATTGGTGACCTCGGTCTGACCATCCGTCTGAGGGTGATAAAACAACGAGAAGCGAAGCTGGGATCCGTACATCTCGTGTAAGTGTCGCCAGAATGTGCTGGTAAGGCGCGGGTCACATTCAAAGATGATGCTCTGAGGTAAGTGGTGATCTCTCACGACTCGATCGAAGACGATGTCGGTGACCTTACAAGCGCTAATGCGATAGCGGCACGGTACAAAACGTGCGCACTTCGTGAAGCGATCGACGATGACCAAGATAGCATTATGATCGCGCTCAGTGGGTGGAAGGCGGGGACCAACGAAATTCATCGAGATTGACTGCCAACGACTCTCAGGTACGGGTAGGGGTTGAAGTAACCCACAGGGAAGGTGGTTCGCACCATTCACCTCATGGCAGGTAGGACACTCTTGGGTGTAGGCTTTGACGAAGTCCTCGGCCAGACGTACAGGCGACAAACACTAGCCAACGTCTTGTGGAAGCCTATATGACCGGCAGATGCCTGGTCATGGAACTCTGCTATGGCCTGGATGGGGAGCTGTTCGGTGGATGGAACGCAGATACGTGGTTCTAGCTGACCAGATCTGCCATGCCAATACACGAGATCATTCTCACCGAGGGAGTATGAAGGAACGGTTTTGTCACTCCGCAGTGTCTCGTGGATGACGCGATAATTCGAGCAGTGGCGGTACTGAGTGCGATATGCATCGATCCTTGACTGATCAACAGTGGTGATAGAGATGTGAACAAGATGGATGGGTTCCTGATTGTGATCAGGATGGTGAAACAAGGCATCGATGACGTGGTTCGTTTCACCTTTGATAGGTTGAGTGGTGAAACTGAACTCGAACAAATCACGCCACCAATGTGTCTGTCGAGGAGAAAGTTTGAGCTTCGTGAGGAAAGCCTAGACAACAGAGTTGTCCGTGCGCACCGAAGGGCGCCCCGTGCAGATAATGACGCCAATGTCGGGTAGCATAAACTACTACGAGAACCTCACATTCACCGGCGGTGTAGTTTATCTCGGCAGACAGTACCTGACGGGAGTAGAAAGCGATCGGACAATCTCCAACATGAGCCTTGACAGTCTCATCCTCCGCGATGGTCAGGGAGTAAGTGGAGGGAGGACTATCACGGGGGGGAAGTGGTGGGAGGATGGGCGTCAGTCGAGAAGCAGTGTCAGCAGGAGGGAGGGGGGAAGGAGGAACATGGGGCTAAGTGAATCAAGAGGAGAGAAAAACGCATAAGAAAGTACAACTCCTACTGCAAAATCTGACGCATCAGTGGTGACGATGAAGGGACGGTCAAAATCAGGGAGGCATGGTTCTTCCGAAAGAGGGTGGAGGTAAGGACGTAGGAATACCTTGTGTATCCCTGCATAAAATTACTATAGTAACTAGTCAGGTATAGGAAATTGCGAAGCTGCTTGACGAATGTGGGGACGCATCACTCCGCAATAGCAATGATCTTTACGTCATTCATGTCGAGACTCTTGTTAAACAGATGGTGTCCTAGGAAGTCCACTTTGCATTGGGCAAAGCGGCACTTAGTGAGTTTGGCATAGAAGTCGTGTTTGCGTAAGCGCTGTAGCACATCGCAGAGATGTCTGAGATAGTCTTCTAAGGTACGGCTGTAGACTAGGATGTCGTTTAGGTATACGAGAACGTATTCTTCAAGGATTTCCTTGAAGATATCGTTCATCGTCGTCTGGAAAGTGGCGGGTGCGTTGGTGAGGTCGAATGGCATCACCGCGAACTCGTAGTGGTCAAAGCGCGACCGAAAGGTGGTCTTCGACTCGTCCTCTGCAGCAAAGCGGATCTGATGGTAACCACTACGAAGATCAATTTTCGTGAAGAAGCGGTTGCCTGCCAGACGGTCAAATAACTCATCAGCGCGAGGCATGGGATAGTTGTTCTTAACTGTGTAACGGTTAAGGCTGCAGTAGTCAATACATAGGCGAAAAATTTCATCCGCTCAACATCACGCATTAAAGGGATCCCGTTGTATGAGAAATACGGAGGGAAAATATTGCGGTACACTCGAATCAAATCACGAACGCCGGGCTCTAAGTCGGTCGTGAACCGTGTGAGTTCCTCAGCGTCTGCGTCGGCACGAGATGTATAGGAGGACTCGGCAGTGAACGACGTAGGGACCTAGGATGTCGAAGGGGTGTCCGCAGGCTAAGGGGTGGATGTAGAGATGGGAGTCATGAAGATGGAGCAAGGGTCAGGGGGATCAGACTCCAATGCAATGAACTCGACCTCTGGACAAAGTGGATCACAATGAAGAAGATCCATGACGTTCACTGAGAAGAACATGACGTCCTCCTGATGTATGAAGTGAGCAAACTGACGAGGAGAAGTGAAGGCGATGTTTGGGTGAGGCCCAGAGGAACGAGGGTCCTGGGAGGTAGGTTGGGAGGAGTGTCGCTCGTGGTTCCAATGAAGGGGACTCGATGGGTCTTACCATGCTTCGTTTTGAGAGTAAGTGTCTCGGTTGCCCATTCGACCTCTCTGCCACGAAACCGGCGAGACCAGGGAGTGTCAAGGATAAAGTCATACCCAGTCTCCAACACATCAAATTATGTGGAGGAATGGTAGCGTCGAGGCTTCTGGGTACTATCTGATATCTGGAGGGTGAGGGAAAACTGGAGGTCGGGAATAGCTAATAAAAAAACAAATTCTTTTGAGAAAATACCATCAAATCGAAGAAGCGTTGCGTCTTGTTACCTCTGAAGGTAACGGAGATAGGAGAGCGAGACCCAAAGGTAGCTAGATGAGCTTCCTTAACCACGCGAGGGTGAACGAAATCTCCCGGCGAGTCGAAGTTTCATGAAGCGCGGTACACCCTCAATGTTGTCCCCAAGTAGATAGGAATGATGGTGAGGGTGCGATCAGGTTCAGAGAGTAGAGTGAGAAGACGACGCAGGACGTTTACGTGTCTCGTGAGTCACTCCTCACGAGCCTGAAGAATGTTAAAATTCAGTAGAGATGACGCAACGTCATTGCGAGTCGCTAGCTGAGCGCTACGAGTTGTGGGAATGGCGCATCGCGTCAGAATTCTCAAAGGGGAAGGACTAGATGCGGCAATGTGGGGTGGGGCAAATGGTACCTCGACAGACGGCGAGGCAGAGGGAACAGTGTCTGTCGTGTCCCGAGGATCCTCTGGTGGGGTAACCAAAGAGGCAAACTGCGACTCGATGGTCGGGAAGCCGACTACGTGCGAGGCCTCAACGGTACACTGCATCGTGGCTAGTTGGATGGGACTGGCCGGGTGGGGCCGGGGAGGGATTGAGATTGGCGCTGATAAGAAATGTCAACACAGTGTTGATCGAGGGCGACATGGTATGGACACCGTGAGGAGGTGTGTCCATCTTGGCGGCAACGAACTTGAAGGCAACCGCGACGGGCCTCGAGGGCGGGGTGCTCCTCAGGGGATAGAGCTCCGCGAGGAGGGACGAAACCCTGCGGGAGGTCTATCTAAGGGACTGTGAACGTGAGGGCACCAGCCTGTGCAACCCGACTGCAAGCATGACCCATGGCGGACATCGCCATCTGCAAGCGCTCGGTCACCGGGACAGTGTCGTCCTTCAACTGGTACTGGATGACGTCCCGAAGCTCGATGTCCTCGGGGGCGTCCCCAAAGGTAGGGTCAAGCTCGGCTGAGGCGTTTTCTGCATCCTTGAGAGACTGTAGTGTTGAAAGAATGGTGCTCCATGTCGAGCTTGTCAGCGAAAACGGATGATGAAAGAAGATCGTTCGCAAGTAGTGTTGCGTGATTGGGTGGTGGCGGCGGGTCACGAAGAAGATGGGGCGTCGAAGAAGCGACTTCGCATCTTCTTGTACTGTTGAGCAACCTTGCAGGCCTGCTCTGTGGAAGCGAAAGTCTGTCGCCAGAGCTCAATGCGGTAGTCAGTCGAAAGACTAACGACAAACTTATTGGTCAAAAGGACCTCAGGTAGGAGTGTCTCATCGCAAATGAGGCGGGCGTCCGGAAACACCCGGATGTGACGTTGGAGGTCTACTGGTGCGGAGGACCCACGCCACTGCGTCTGGGTGACCCGATCGAGGGCGTCAGTCGTGTCATGAAGAGTGTCATAATGGTCATGAAGGAACGCGGTGAAGTCCATAAAAGTGGGAGCCTCACCCAGGCGGGTACAACGGGTATAGTAGTTCTTCCATGCGGAGAACGACTTGCCTTGCAATTTGAGAGACGGTTAACGGGGCCCCAAATATTCGCCGTTTTCGTTGGCAATTGCGGTGCGAATTTCATCAAAATTTTTAAAAATAAACAATATGAGATCATAGTGCAAACATAAAAAAAGGAAACAGGCAAAAAAAAACGAAAAAAAATAATAAAAAAACACTACGAAACCCTAACACAAAGACACTGTCCGAGTCAAAATGAAGCGTCCAAYGAATTCAACAAAATGCCAACTTTTTCATTATTGATCCAAACATGTCAAAACTGCACACATGAYRTACCCTAAAGCACATATATATMWCAAAAAAAAAAAAAAAAAAAAAAAAAAAAAAAAAAAGCAAAAAATCAGCACAATATGACAGTTTCAGTGCAATTCGGTGCAAAATTCGTCGAAAATAACACCCCTGGTTAACCACGTGTGTGCAATTTAATTGCGGGCATAAAACGCCATAACTTCTAACTAATGTTTGTCAGAGTCGGCGCACGTGTGGCGGCCGACAACCAATGCAACATACGAAGTGTACCATCGTAGTCAGGTATATCTGACAAACGCACAAAGGGGGGACCGCTCTGCTGACGAGGGGGGGAAGAGAGGCTCATGGGCCTGCATCGAGGCGGCAAATGTTGGGGCCAGTGCAGGGGGTAGAAGTGAAGGTGGGTTGTGGGCCGGGGTTGCTGGTGGAAGGTCCAGCAGCGGTGGAGGCCACAGTCGCAGCCAGTTGTGACAGAGTGGCGAGATAGGAGGGTAGAGGAGGAGGAGTCAGTCGAGGGAAACGAGCCGACAAGACAGAGGTGGAAGGGGCGGTATAAGAACAAGAAGGGTGAGTAGCCTGTGAAGGGTGAGGCTTTCTCAGGGTGAGAATCTCCGCCTGGAGCTACGCCACAGTGGCCTGTAAGGTAGCCACTAGCTGGGTGTGTGGGGTCGCAGGTGGAGGAGGCGGAGAGGGTACCCTAGTGGGAGGAGGAGTAATGAATTGTAGGGAACCCTGGGGTGGGAGTGAGGAGATGAGGGGAGGAGGGAGAGCTCCGGGCCGTAGTGTTGGGATCGAAGCGGAAATCTGGTAAGCCATAGCAGGATGAGTAAATGAGATTGCATGGCCATATACCGGTATCTGGGCAGCAACACATACGATAGCGGCCGAAGCGGCAGGGCCGGCAACGACCGACGAGTGTGCCGCAACAGATGGTATAGTCTGAGCGGCGGCGGCACTCACCATTGCGGAGGGGGAGTGTTGGGCCTGACCCGCGGGGGAGGAACCACCACATCTCTGTGCTTGGGGTCGTGGGAAGCCGAACTGTGAATCGGTAGGGGATGGGGTGTGAGAGCGGTGAGGAGAACCCTTGAGGCGGTGAACTTCAAGGGCGAATGCATTGACTTGCCCCTCCAGGGTGCAAGCGCATCCAGTCGCGCTTGCAAAGGTGCAAGGAGGGACGCAAGAACAGCGCGAAGGTCCATGAGGTCCACAGAATCCTGACCCTGGGTCGTCGGGTGGGTGGGCGCTGCGATGATCTCCTCAGTTGTAGTCTCTTCCATGGGCAGTGCACGTATGGGGGTAAACATGGCGGGAGGTGCAGAAAAATGTGGGGAAAGAGATGGGTTGGTATGTGGAGAAAGAGGTTCACCAATAAGAGGGAGGGGACCGCGGGAGCGGAGTGGATAGTTGTGAGTCGGCTTGCCTCGAACTCGGCGGGCCATGCATGAGATGGTAGCACGGACCCTGTCGAGGGGAGAGTATCCGTTGGGGTTCAGGATGCCTGACAGGAGGAATCAGAAAAGGAGGGCGGTAGAAGAACTTAAACTCTGGGAAAACCCTAAGAAAGTAATCGGAATTTGAAGGGTTAGGATAAAGTAGCGGCGACCTAATCAAGAAAATAAAATAGCAACCATGGAGGGGAGAGGGAA